CATATCTACTGCCATCCTTATCTTCTGCTACTCAGAAATCCCCTCCATGTCATTATATGTCCATGAAGCAGTACTATAAGACTAGTGTTGGAGTTTTATATATGCAAAGAGATGATACCTCGACTTTATATTCACTTTAAAAAAACATACTATGGGAATCACTTATCAAAGTTTTGAGAGTTAGAACTTTTAAAAATATATTGAGTAATTCTATTTTTTGCTTATGCTATGTATGCACTCAAGAATATTGATATGAATATTGATAGATCACTTTTCAAATAAGATTTAGACTTGAAAGGTAACAAGAGAAGTTTTAGAAAGAAAACATTTTTGGGGGTATCCTCAATTCTAAGAAGGGGTCATCGTCAAGGCCGAGGGTTCCTGACCAAGGCGTTGACTTCCTGAAACTACTTCTTCCAAAGTAGGGAGCACATGTACCGAGGGTCTCGTTGCTGAGAATTTACTTAGCCATGCTGAGGTATGATATATGAGCGTTGAGAACTATGAAGCGGGTGACACCTCGTCGATTGGACCTATTCGATCAGGTTGGGATCGAACCCGTGCCGATCACACGGTGACTATGACAGAAATAAGTCAGGATAGTTGGAACTCCCGAAGTATAAAGTGAAGTATTTTTTTTATAAGAAAGAAAAAGAAAAGAATTTCTTTTAGAATATTCATAAATTGTAATTATGCAATTATTTTAAAATTGTTCTTAGAAGCTTTATGTTTTCCATTCATTTAGAATCTTTGCTCGTAAAGTATATTTTATTAAACTTTCATCCCCTGTAGTTGAGACTCACTGAGTATAATGGATGGTACTGACGTTCTCTTTTAGGAACCTACGTTGGTGTGCGGTACAACGTAGGAACTGGTTTTGCAGGCGAGCAGGCTACTGGTTAGGACTTCCCTCTCTTGCAGTACTATTGATGAGCTCCGTTTTTGTTCGTGGAGTATTCCTTCGAGTCATCTTTATTTAGTTATTTCTTTGTTTACTTGGAGAACTAGCCAAGCAATCTCATGTCCTGAGCAGTGCGTCAATTATCAATAGAGGCTTCATAGACACGGTCGGTGGGTTGAGTTTCGGATGTTTTTGATAATAACTTAGCAGTATTTCATTGGTTACTAAGAATAAAGTTTTGAAATTGGTTTATTTTAGATATTTAAATTAATTAAAAGTATTTGGTTAAAGTATTGGCTTGTTGAATATAAAGTTTGAAGTTATAATATATTTGATAAGAACAGATGGTTCGCTCGGTCAAGTTTAGTGATCGGGTGCCGGTCATGGCTTGTTCAGAAAATGGGTCGTGACACTACTAGCAGAGGAAGCAAATTCCTATGTCTTATTTGACCTACAATCTTAATTTCTGATTTAATCTGGCGCATTTTAATATTCAAAGCCTTGCTATCTTTCTCAGTGAGTTCTGCAGCATCCTTCGGGGGTTCTACGATCTTCTGTATAGCAATAATCTTTCCGTTACTTCCTGGTAACTCACCTTTATAAACTTCTCCACATCCAGTGATGCCAATCCGTCTACGTTCTCCAAATCAATGGACTGAAAATTGTTACACCTGAATCATCCCTACTCCCTTTGATGAAAATCATAACCATCTTGAAGAGCAAGGAGAAGACCATCGCAGACAAGGCCCCTGCAAAAGATCCAGCTAGGAATCCAAGAATCCATACGCTTTCCTTCTTTTTTGTCTCGTTATGTTTGTGCGCTGGTACTACAATTGCACTAGGTCCTGGAGCTGGGGCATTTTCTGAATAGGATTGTGGTGCCATTGCAGATTTGTGACTTGACCTTGTTGAGTTTTCAGCAAGAATGTAATGCTTAGGAACATAATCTTTTCGATTCAAGTCTACTGATAAGTGCTCAATTTGACTCATGAAAGGCACCAGACGTTCAAGAAAACTATTCCCTGAAATGTTGAGGAACCGGAGATTTCTGAAAGATTTCAAGGATTGAGGTATTTTGCCAGTGAACATGTTATCAGCAAGGGACATTTTTTCAAGGTTGGGAAAATATTTCAAGAAATTGAGGTTCCCTGATAACTCATTAGAAGAGAGGTCAAGGATTCGAAGGCGAACAAGAGATGATAATTCAGATGGGACTTCGCCATAAAACTGGTTGTTTTGAAGGTTCAAGATTTTCAATTTCCGGCAGTCAACAATTTGAGTTGGGATTCTATCAAAGAGGTGGTTGTTTTGAAGGGACAACACTTTGAGCTCAGAAATCTTGCCAATGGCAGGAGATAGAGTTCCCCTCAGTTCATAGGACTTGAAAACGACCCCTGTGACTCTAAGCACGTATGAATTGTTTGTGAGTCGTCGTTCACATGATATTCCAACAGAGTTGCATGGGTTCTCTACGGTGGCGAAACCAGGAAATTCAATAAGGGTGTTCACTCTTTGTCGGTGGGTTATGCAAGGGTATTCAAAGTCTATTTTTAACTAATAACAACTAATATTTTACCTTATACGTAGTATAATTTTTCGGCGAAGGGTTGGGCCAACATAGCTTCGCCCCTGGTTCTCTATAGCACTACGTTGTCCAGGGATGTCTAAACCTTTTTGGACAAGCAAAAGAGCATTATAATCTGGCGAGTAAAGGTTGAGTCTTGCTTGAACAAGAAGGATAAGAGTGAAGAGAGACATAAGAGATAATAGGTGAGTATTGGAGGTAGTGAAGGCCATTGGGTGGCAGTTTTCGCCAGTTTTATGGTGGAATAGGGAGGAGAGATGAGAGTACTGTGGTGCTTGTGTTGTGGGATGTATATTGTTTAGTGGGTTCTATAAAAGGAAAGGTTGGTATTTATTTAAGGTAATAAGAAGCAGAACAAGACTTTATAAGTCAAGCTGGGACCGTGTGGAAAACTTGAATCTCCCAGGGCCCAATAGATTTAATTTCTTTTGCTCATGAGTTGACTAGTGAAATTCCTCATTTGCCATTTGCATAACCAATAATTGGGGACAAAATTGTTTTATTCCTTTTCCTGATTTTTCTTCTGTGTTGCCTATTAAAATGTTTAACTGCATTTTGGTTAAACTTGTTAATAGATAAACTTATTCATGTTTGAAATCTTAAACTTTCAATATTATATATAAGCATTTCATGTAATTTATCATTTTTGTTGTTTCATAACTATTAGTCTTTATTATGCACGTATATATACTGCACGTGAATAAAGAAAAAAAAGTACATACCTTGTATATGTATTTCATTTTAATTAATATAAAATCAAAGAAAATAAAACAAAGAAAGATATTTATAATATTTGTGTAAGTTCGATGCATATTCTGTAAAATAACATAACTTTACACTGATGTGTGGCTCCTTTGAGCAATAAATAGAAAAATGTTCTATTATATATGTCACACTTAGTATAAGCGAAGTGATGCCATGTAACTTTGGCTTGTAAGACTGCAAATTTCAGCATTTGGGTTTATAGTATTTATGCAAGTTATTTTATGCTTTAGATGGTTCATTTAGAACTTTAGCTCAAAAATATGCAATTGACCGCTATCTCTATCATAATATGAATATGAAGCTCTGAATGAAGTATTCTGAACTATATTTTGAGAGATTGAGATCGATAGTGAAATAAATAATGGTTACTTAGAAAATTGTGTAGACAATAAATCGCGTCAGGAAAAAATAAAATCAAGACCGAAAAATATTGCAACAATCATAGTATTTTATTTCAAATATTTTGAGTGTTACAATCTCTATGAATCCTTTGATTCTTCTTTCCAACAGTAAATAAAAGAGCCTTCGAGCTTAATCTTGAATTTTATTTTACTTTAATCCAAGTGCTTGAGGCCTGATCTTGATCTTAACATATTTTTAATCCAAGGGCTTGCAGCTTTTTCTTGAATCTTCGTCTTGATTTTTTAATCCTTAAAACACTTGAATGCTTGTAGCTTTTAGAGAAATTTGCAACGTTTGATCCAGGAGCTCCCTCTTGCTTCTTGTTATAACTTCTGGTTTCTTTTCTGAGTTATGAAAACCCTATTTATAGTTGTGGAAGAGAAGAGCTATGATAAAAATAAACTCTTTCTGACCAATCAGATTGAAGTGTGACAAGGTCGCATTTGATTGGCCAGAATATGTCACTTGCACACGTGGCGCGGTTTCATTGGCCTTTTAATTCGACTTGGCATGCCTTGTCATTTTGACACGTAGTACGATCCTATTGGCTCTTTCGTTTGACTTGGCGTGTCACGTCATTTGACACGTGACACCAAACTGGGCCTCTAGGAAGATGATATCTTGGGCTTAATGAAGTGGGCTCATCACTTTAGCCTAATTAAATGGGCTAGCCCAATGGATTAAGACTTATTTATTTAATCCATATATATTGGACTTATATAATTAATTCAATTATATTAGCCCATAATATTTATTTGGACCAATATGTCTTGAATTTAAAATATAGTTCAAATTATTTTATGAATTTAATTTAAATAAAATCTATATGCCTACAAATCTCCCATACTTCAAGACTTGTCAGGGCATAAATATGTCGAGCTTCGAAGACTAGACTTGAAGTAGCACGAACTAATATATAATTTAAAGTGCATTGTAGATGTATTCGTGCATTACTTCAAAAGAATTGAAATAATAAGATTATGTTTAAATGAGCTTCCAATACATATAGACCAATATCCAAACACTTAGTTTATTTCTAGAAGATTCACGTGGCGTTTGGCAGAATGCCAATAAAAGTCATATTCTGACTTTTAGGTCAAGAAATCACAATCCATCTAGCCAAATATATTGCATTCCTTGTTTAAGGAAGTATATATGTATAAAGCTATATTCACGCACAGTGCCTCGTGCAAACATAGAAGGCCGAATCTTTTGCTAGCAGTAACCAATTAGATTGGAGATAGAGAGCCAAATTATATTCCAATTGAAATCATAACAAGAAAAGGATTCTACTCTGCCTAGGAAAAGGAGTGTTGCCAGCGCCTCTCTTAGCATCTAATCCCACATCGAAAAACACTTTTAGAGTGCTCTCTTTCATAACCTTTATAAACCCATAGTTGTCATGCTAACTGAGCATCAGCGGCGAACGTCTCAAGTTAGTTCGACTTCTGTCTTTGACGATTAGGACGCACTAGTTTGAAGTTGACTTTCTCCTTCTTTTTTTTTTGCTTTTTATTGATCGCTCTTGTAGGTCAAACGTAGAAGGATATGTTCTTGTTTGGCAAGACGATCCATCTATGACGAAGGAAATCATAGGGTCGAGCTGGACTGAATTAATTTAGTATTTTGGTTTTGGTTTTTTCGATATTTCGGTATAATTCGATATTAAATTTTCGGTATAACGGTACGGTCCTCGATATTAAGATCTTGAAATTTCGGTATACCGAAATACCGAATTTTTAAAGAATTTCATATGCTTCCTACACTGCCCTAGCCCAACCCAAAATTTTAATGTTTGTATCTCTACTCTCTAATCCAATAAGACTAGGCCCAACTTCCTTACTCTTTTTCCCTAGTTTCACTATAAGAATTAGTAATTAGAATTAGGTTTCCCTAGTGAATACTGAAGTACTGAACAGATCGGCTGTGATAACTGAGAAACCTAATTAGATCTGTGACTATGGTCTGGCCGTCTGGGAGTGCGATAGAGACAACGTCACGACGACTTTATGACCTCGACGCCGACGACTCTCAAGTGTGACTGCTAGTTTCCTCATTTTTTACCTTCATTCTTCAATCTTCAACTCTTCAACAGGTTCATAACTTTTCATTCTTCAATCTTCACTTCAGTTTTTTTATAATAATTTATAGTAGATTAATTGGCACTTCTTGAAATAAGAAAAATTCTTTGTGGATTTAAGTTTTTCTTTTTCACATTGTTTGTGGATCTACTTGGTCACTGCAAAATTTTAGAGCTAAGTTGTGTATTTTTTCGACTCAAATTATATGTATAGGTTGATTACATGAAGTTTGATCATGATGTTCTGCCACTTGTTTTTTTTAATAGCTAATCTTTTCATAAACAAGTTCTGAAAAATTCCACTTTGAACCTAAAGATTCCAGTGACATGTAAAGAGTGGGATTAGTTTTTTAGTAGAGTTAAACTACAAGATTTGAACGAGTGGTAACGCTTGTTGCACCACGGACAGAGGCAATTTCTTATTAGGTGACGTACTTTATTTTGGTTATCTTCATTTGATGTAATAATGAAGCTTCAAATTTGCTTACAACAATATTTATTATTGTATTTAAGCTTGGATTATTAGTCGCGTGTGCAACCTTATGGCTAGTTTTCTTCTCCTGAGTTTAAGTTCTATGCACTGACTGGACGTCTATTTTATACGTACATGGATTAACTTGTATTTTCTTTGTATGATAACTAGCTCTTTTTTCAATAACGGGGAATATCATTTGTGGACAGGTTTGACTAACGACTCAACACTCTGCGAAACCAGTAAATCACATTCACATAATATGTAATTCCAATTCAAGAATGAAATCAGCTAACAAATTCTATATTTGTAAAAGAAAAAAAGAATCTCAACGTCTACATTGTCTTATAGAAGGTTACTAACTTTGACATGAAGACTCACTTCCAGATTCTACTCTTTGCATAATATTCTTTTTGTTTGCTCTCAATTACTAGTATTTCTAGTAAAAGATAATCACATAAATACACCTCTAGTGAGATTACAAAATTTTGTTAGGGAAACAGTAGCCCAGAAATTCGTAGACATCCTTGTCAAATACTTGTCAACCCCCATTTTAGACTTTGATTATAACTTCAACATGTAAACTACTAGACTTTATATGATCCAGTTGGGACACTATAAACTACTAAACTTAGCTCGTTGACTCGGGTCTCTGAGTCTTAGTTCTTTCTCATTATAGTTTGACATATCGAGGGAAATTAGCAAAAAGGTCGTATGTATATTAGTTGTTTAAGTTTTTATTTTCTGGTCACGGTTTACTGGGTCGTTGTTGTTATTGTTGTTGTTGTTGTTGTTGTTGTTGTTGTTGTTGTTGTATATCTAAACTCTACTCTAGTCTCAATTTGTGTTTATATTTATTTTAATTTTGTATAGATGGCAGATGAAAGTAGAGTAAGTGATTCCGGTTTAACAGAGGATGAGCATTTGAGAAAAATGCTGAGCAGATGCAAGAAAAGTTCAAGAAGTATTGGGGTGAGCCTGAAAAGTTGAATAAAATAAATTTCATTGCTTCCGTCTTGGATCCACGTAACAAATTTGAATATGCTAGCCTTGAACTTGAAGAACTTTTTGGGGAGGAAAAAGGGAAGAAAATAAATGTTGAGGTGTATGCTTATATGAATTCTTTGTTTGAAGAGTATCTAAAAAGTATTCAACTGGGTCTTGTCCTCAATCTCCATCTAGTTTTACTTCATCTAATAACACATCTAATATATCTAGTAGGAGTGTTATAACTGCATCATTAATAAAGACGAAGCTTTACTTGAAGAAACAAAAGGAAGACAATGGAAGTGGGGGTGCAAAATCAGAGTAGGATAAATACATTAGTAAAGAACAAGAGCCTTTTAGTGAAGAATTTGATATCTTAAGTTGGTGGAAAACACATGCTCCTAGATTTTCTATTCTTTCGGAGTTGGCTCGTGATATGTTAGCCATTCCAATTTCTAGTGTGGCGTCGGAATGTGCATTTAGCACCGGTGGCCGTATTCTTGATTTATTTAGGAGTTCATTGACTCCTAAACGTGTGCAAGCTCTTGTTTGTGTTCAAGATTGGCTTAGAGAAGAGAAGAATCCTATTAGTGTTGAAGAAAACTGGGAGTATCTTGAGGAACTCGAGCTTGGTAAGCTTTAATATTTTGTGTGTATTTTAGTTCAAAATAATATATCATACTTGTTTATTTGTATGACATATTTAGTCAAATTATCTTTAGATATGGAAAATAATGGAAGTACTACTGGCATTATTTGATGTATAGTTGTAACTTGCAACTTGAGTGGTAAGTTTAATACTATATTTACTTGGTGATATACTTTTGTAGTTTTGTTTTACTATCATCAAAAAATAATATTCTAACTTATGATTTATCTTTTTTTTTTTTAGGTTCAAGTGCAATCATGCCCCGTGCTCCTAAGTACGCTCTCATATTTGGGAACACTTTGAGGTGATAGAAGATAACAGAGAAGTTCGCAAAGTAGAGTGTAAGCATTGTGGTCGAGTCTATAATGTTCATCCAAAGAGGGATGGCACATATTGTTTAAGAAAGCATATTAGGCGTTGTCTTGAGCGTCTTCCTGAAATTTGAATTTAAGAATTAAGACTAAGTTGATTCGAGACTATTAGTGTAAACTTGAATTGAAGGATGCCCCTTATGTTTTTGTTGCACTATGTTTAATTCTGCTACTACTTGTTAGTGGTTGTTACTATCTTAGCTTGCTGTGATATTTATTTACTCCCTCCGTTTCAAATTAGACGAGGTACTTTCCTTTTTAGTCTGCTTCAAAATAAATGACACATTTCTAAATTTGAAAATAATTCAACTTTAAACTCTTCATTTTATTCATTTACCCTTAATGAGAAACTTTTATAACCATACAAATGTCATGGTCTCACAAAGCTTTTACCCCTTAAGCTTTTAAGCCCACAAGTTTTAAAAGTCTTCTTCTTTTTTTTTTAAACTCCGTGCCGAGTCAAACTAGCTCATCTAAATTGAAACAGAGGGAATACTTCTTTTCCCTTTCAGGTACTTGCTGTGAATGTGATAATTAGGTGTGCACTTGTTGTGAATGTGATAATCATGTCCTCTTACACGCCTTTTGTTATTTAGTGTTGCTGGCTTGCTTATTTAATTATTTAGTGTTGCTGGCTTGCTGCATTTTGTTAGGCAGAATGGCAGATTATTTAGTACTGCTGCGGTGTTGCCTTACATGCCTTTTGTTAGGCAGAATGGCAGATTTGATTATTTAGTGCTGCTTCCTTTTGCTTAATGCTTAGGCTCTTAGCACTTAGCAGTACGTGATACATGAATATGTATTAAACCAAAACCGTAGCGAAACCGTACCAAACCAAAATAAGAAATACCGAACCGTACCGAAATACTTTAGTACGGTATTTGATATACACAATTGATAAACCGAATACCGAAATACCGAACCGACATTCTTAAATATTGAACCGAAGTATCGAATTTTCACCCCTAATAGATACTTATCTCTGTCCGAATATCGGAGAGATTACTCTCAAGGTGGCCCAACTATCGAAGAGATTACTCTCATTGTGACCCGACTATCGGAGAGATTACTCTCAATGTGGCCCGACTATCAGAGAGATTACTCTCAATGTGGCTCGACTATCGGAGAGATTACTCTCAATGTGGCCCGACTATCAGAGAGATTACTCTCAATGTGGCTCGACTATCGGAGAGATTACTCTTAATGTGGCTCGACTATCAGAGAGATTACTCTCAAAATGACCCGACTATCGGGGAGATTACTCTCTATGTGGCTCGACTATCGAAGAGATTACTCTCAATATGGCTCGACTATTGGAGAGATTACTCTCAATGTGGCTCGACTATCGGAGAGATTACTCTCAAAATGACCCGACTATCAGAGAGATTACTCTCAAAATGACCCGAATATCGGAGAGATTACTCTCAAGAGACTTACATGTCCACCTTAAGATTGGAAAATATAGTTTTCTTTTAAGGATAAACCCACGAAGAGGCCATCTTAAGGTGCAAAGGGCATTATATGTCCACCTTAAGATTGAAAAGTTATAGTTTCTTTTTAAGGACAAACCCACGAAGAGGCCAACTTAAGGTGCAAAGGGACTTATATGTCCACCTTAAGATTGAAAAGTTATAGTTTCTTTTTAAGGACAAACCCACGAAGAGGCCAACTTAAGGTGCAAAGGGACTTATATGTCCACCTTAAGATTGGATAGTTACAGTTTTCTTTTAAGGAAAAACCAACGAAGAGGCCAACTTAAGGCGCAAAGGGACTCATATGTCCACCTTAAGATTGGAAAATTATAAAGGTTCAACTCGAAGACTTCGTGGACTTGACGGCATTGACTTGAATATTTGGAAACTTTGAAGATTTGGCGGACTTTGCAGACTTCAACTTGAAGACTGACAGACTTGAAGATTTCAACTTGGAGACTTCAACTTGAAGACCGATGGACTTGAAGACTTCAACTTGGAGACTTGGAGGGTTTAAACATTTGAACTTGAAGAGCAGCAAACTTTAAGACCGGAGGACTTAAAGATTTGGTGAACATGAAGACATAGTAAATCCTTGACCTTCATTGCAAATACTCGATAGCCTCTTAAAATACTATAATCGCCTTATTGAAGACATTGGTTTATCATGAAGGCTTTCCCCCTCTAAGACATATGAGATCCAAAGTTCAAAAGAATAACGGAATTTCAGTCTGATTTTCAAGTGTTGTTTGAATGAATTACTTCCATCATACTTCATTTGGACAACGACTAGGGCAATATGTATCTTTTGAACTTATGCGACTGAACTCATAATGAAACTCTAAGCTACCTACATACCTCAGTGAAGAGGATCAAGTCATACCGTAGTTCAGAATGGGTGATTTGTTTTCTTATTTTTTTTATGTCCTAACTTTTGCCTAGGCCGTCCCTTTCGAGGTTTTCAACCTAGCAGACTTTGTTTTATGTCCTAACTTTTGCCTAGGCCGTCCCTTTCGAGGTTTTCAACCTAGCAGACTTTGTTTTATGTCCTAACTTTTTCCTAGGCCGCCTTTTTCGAGGTTTTCAACCTAGCAGACTTTGTTTTATGTCCTAACTTTTTCCTAGGAGAGTTGCAATTTCAAGGATAATACTTCTTCAAAAACTTGCCATTGATAGGGCTAATTCTCATGCCATCTGCATCAACCAGCTTGTAAGCCCCACTTGAGTAATCTTCTTGTACGACATATGGCCCATCCCATTTTGTAGTGAACTTCCCTACAGGTTTATGGGAAGTAATAATGGGTCTTCATATGACAAAGACTTGATCTCCTACTTGAAAGGATCTCAGGCAAACTCTTTTATTGAAGGCGCGAGACAATCGAGCTTGATAACATTCAAGACTCTATTGAGCTTCCAACCTTTTTTTCATCAAGATCCTCCAACTCTGCTAATCGAAGTCGAGCATTTTCTTCATCAGTGATTCCTTCTTGAAAAGCTAGTCGTAATGAAGGTATTTGACGCTCGAGTGCAAGTCGACTTTGACTCCATAAATGAGTGAATAAGGAGTCGCTTGTGTTGGCGTGCGGTGAGTCATCCTATATGCCCATAGAGCTTCTTCCATACAGTCATTCCAATCTCGTTTGGATTTGGAGACGACTTTCTTTAACAAGTTGCATAGAGTTTTGTTGAATGCCTCGGCTATACCATTGGCGGCAGCATTGTACCTCGAAGAGTTACGTTGCTTGAAGCCAAAGAGATCACAAATCTTGTTCATCGACCTATTATCGAATGGCTTTCCATTATCCGTTATTATGTAACGAGGAATGCCAAAGCGATAGATTATGTTTACTCGGATGAAACTTGTAACATTTTCCTTCTTTACCTCCTTAAGAGAAACAACTTCAACCCATTTTGAGAAGTAGTCAGTTGCAGCCAAGATGTATAGGTACCCACCAGAGGACTTTGGCAAAGGTCCAACAACATCCAATCCCCAAGCGTCAAATGGTCAGGATGCCATAGTCGGGTGCAACACTTCAGGAGGTTGATGAATAAAATTCGCATGGAATTGACAAGCCTTGCATCTTCGAGCGTAGTCCAAGCAATATTTTACCATCGTTGGCCAATAATATCCCATCCTTTTTATATGGAAGTGGAGCTTTGGAGACTGGTGTGACCCACATAACCCCAGAATGTGCCTCTTGCAAAGATTGTAGTGCTTCTTCTTCCACTAAGCATCGCAAGAGTACTCCCTCGAATGACCTTCTATATAGAGTATCTTTGTAGTAAAGGAAGCGAGGTGCACGACGACGGATTTCAGTCCTTCTACTCGGATTTTCTGGAAGTATCCCATAGCTTAAGTAGTCGATAATGGGTTGTCGCCATTCTTCTTTCTCATCTTCAGAAATAGCGATAAGATGCTTGAGTTCATTTCCTTCACCTTCAACCTCATTTGGTGGCGGTACTACCCATTTTTGGCAGACAGTAACTTGCGCTTGATTAGGCAGGGTTAACGATGAAGTTAGGGCAGCTAAAGCATCAGCCTTCTTGTTTTCTTTACGTGGCACATGTTGAATAGTCACGTCACCGACCCATCCCATTAACTTTTTAGCATAATCATGATATGGGCGTAGTAAAGGTTTCTTGACATCGTAACTACCTAAAAGTTGGTTGATCACCAACTGAGAGTCACCAAAGACTTGCAATTGCAACCGCTTTATTTCGACAGCCATTTCAAGCCCAAGTATTAGTGCTTGATACTCAGCAACGTTGTTAGAGCAGAGTTGCGTCAACGTAAAAGAGTAGGGCAGAACTTCACCTTGAGAAGTGAGAAATACTACACCAGTACCAGCTCCTCCGCGATGTGCAGCACCATCAAAGAACATCTTCCATGGAGGTTGGACTTCAATGACCATTGCGTTTTCATCAGGTAGTTCGTTAGTTAGCTCCCAATCATCAGGTATAAGGTGATTTTCCAAGAAGTCTGCCAATGCTTGTCCTTTTATAGCCTTTTGAAGGATGTACAAAATATCGAATTGTTGAAATTGGAGATACCATCTCGCTAGTCGATCACTAAGAATAGGTTTTGACATCATGAACTTAATGGGATTTGCTTTAGAAACAAGACGAACAACATGAGCTTGAAAGTAGTGCTTCAACTTTTGAATTGAGAAGACTAGCGCCAAACACAACTTTTCAATTGGTGAATAATTCAGCTCATTTGGTGTCATCATCCTGCTCAAGTAGTAAAGAGAGTTTTCTTTCCCCTCACTATTTTTTTGGGCCAACAACGCTCTAACAGACCTTTCTTGTGCTGAAATATATAGTATCAATGACTTTCTAAGTATAGGGGCTGCTAAAATCGGAGTCTTCATAAAGTAGGATTTAATGCTCTCAAAGGCATTGCTACACGCTTGGTCCCATTTGAAAGGGACACCTTTCTTCATAAGGCGACTGAATGGTTGGCATCTCCCAGCTAGGTTTGAGATGAATCTCCTAAGGTACGCTAACTTTCCTTGTAGACTTTTCAATTCGTGAATATCCCGAAGCACGGGCATTTTCAAGATTGCATCTACTTTGGCTTGATCAATTTCAATCCCTCAATGTCGGACAATGAAACCAAGGAACTTTCCGGAAGTAACTCCAAAGGCGCATTTCGATGGATTCATCCTAAGTTGGTACCTTCGGAGCAACTCAAACACCATTCTCAAGTCTTTCAAGTGGTTGACCTTATTTCTTTATTTTACCACCAAGTC